GGTTTAATACTTAGGATTAATTCCAACTTTGTCCGGATAACAAGTCCGGACACACCGCATAAAACTTTGTCCGATTTATCACTTAGAATAAAAATCATCTTTGTCCGGATAACAAGTCCGGACAATACCCTGCTCACCCTTTGACCGATTTAAAACAATCCGAACAATATATCGTCCAACCTTTGTCCGATTTAAAGCAATCAGGACAATACCTCGTCCACCCTTTGACCGATTTAAAGCAATCCGGACAATATATCGTCCAACCTTTGTCCGATTTAAAGCAATCAGGACAATACCTCGTCCACCCTTTGACCGATTTAAAACAATCCGGCCAAGCTTTGTCCGGATAAAACCCTTAAGTAAAATTCATTGATTTCATTCCAACAATAAACAAGATTCATATAAAACCAGTAGAAATTTTATGCAAAAGAGTTTAGAAATTACTTACCTTATCAATCTTTTGGAATCAAACACTTGAAATCAATTTGAATCTCCAGCCAAGAATAATCCGGTCAACCTCTCCTCTTTAAATCGCACAACTTTTTTTTTAAAAGGCAAGAAGAAGAAATATGGAGGCTAAGCCCTCCTTTTATACTTTCCAAATCAGGAAAGGCGGTTAACACAGCCTTCTCTTATGCATGCATTCACTTACTATAAAACAAATAAAAAATTCCTGGAAACTTATTGTAAGTCAGAAAGATTTAACTTCTTTAAAAACTCTTTATTACCTGTTTGACACCGTTATAAGTTGTTTATCCAAACACTCATCAAATGTACTTATTATCGATACCATACTAGAATAAGTCAATAAGTTATTTTTATAAGCAATCACAAACATCCGTGTAATGAAATAACAATGGAGATTTGATTCCATGAGGGACGGTGTCAACGGTTAATAGTGTACACGGGAGTTAGGTACTTTTTGGCCTCTCTTCCTATGTGTTTTTTTATTAGCAGAATCATGAAAATATTCCGATGTGATTTGCTTTTTTTAAATTATCCTACAAAAACTAGATATAATAGTAATTAAACTTTATTTTTGGTTCCTTTATTTTTCTAATTTTCTTGATTTTGACCTTTAATGTTAATCTCATACAAATTTACCGTCACACTTTGCATTTTTGTCTGGTTTTAGTCACTCTGGTTAACAAATGTTAAATTATCAGATCAGATGCAGATAGGTCTTTTTTCCTTTTTTTTTGTCTTGTTCTCATTTTCCTTTTAAGTAATAAAGAAACTAATATTACATAATAGAGAGACCGAAGATCAAGGGAAAACTAATGTGTGTATAGGCGCAAGTTCAACAAGAAGCTAAACATGTTGTGAGAAGGCAAGAATTTTTAATATCATATATGATTACACATATGATACATAAACTTAATTATATATGAATAACTACATGTTGCATCGACAACTCATAGACGTTTAATTATATATGATATTGAAACTTCTCGACTTCTCACAAAATATTTGAATTCTCGCATCATCCTTCCTCTCTCTCTCTCTCTCTCTCTCTATATATATATATATATATATATATATAGGTAGGGACGTTCCAATCTTTTTAGAGGCTCTGTTACATCTAAAACTTTTAATTACATTGCATAAATGAGATAACAGAGAATATATATTCAACTAAAAATGAGCTAAACCTAAACGATTAACAATATGAAACTAAAGCTAAACCATTTATTATTTTTAACCTGAAAAACCAAACAATTTATAATTTGAACCTAAACAATTTCGACAATAGTTTTACACAGATCAATAAAAAGACCTTAAACACATGTAATCTTAGGCCCGAAAATTTTGAGGGCTCTGTTCAAATTCTCACATTTAACATGCTAAGGGACGGCCCTACAGATAGTTTCAACTATATTTGCCGGCAATTGAAGCAAGTCATCAATGTATAACTCCTTCAAGCATATTGCGCAAAAGAATATGCTTAACTCAGTGATACCATCCTTATTGGATTCGATGCCATCCCTTTAATGGAAATAGGGAGCAGTCTTTGCATGAACACGTAACAATCATAACTCTTGAAGCCATAAAAACTACCATCTTCAACATTTACTGATGCCCTTATATTTGAAGCACAACCATCTAGAATTTCAGCATCTTCAACCAATCACACACCTTTCACACCTTCTCGTTATTTAATGTGTAGGAAGCTTTCGGTTTCAATATTTTATTTCTTACTCTTATATGCAACTTCCAGTCGATTGTAGTATTCTTCTATGTATTTATTTGTTTTTATGTTGTCCTTTGATTTTGAGGTGTGCATAATTGTGTGAAAGAAATTGTCAATGTGCATTACGTTTACATTGTGCCGAATCAATAATGTGTGTCAATATCGCAGCTCTCAAAAAATGTCTGTTTTACCCAATTGTGTGTTACCTCAAAACTAATAGGATTTCTATAGTACCTTGATCCGTGTGGGACTCTTCTATAAACCCTAGGAAGGCTGTAGACTTGTGCCCATATTTGC